TTGGCTGTCATCCAAATAACATGTTACTGCCTACTGCCAAGCCAGGCACTTTTGCCAATCGGTGAATTTTTAAGAATGACACAGTAACTGAGCAAACTGGGGCTCGGCCACATGGTGCCTTGACACACGACCCAACAATGAGTGTTGAAGGAAACAGGTTTTATTAACAGGGTACAACCCTGAGGGGCTGAGTGTAGTCCTGCTTGGAGTCCTCCTCTCCCACAAGACCCAGCACTTCCCTTGCTCATGAAAAGGCTGCAAGCCAAAGCCAAGCCCAGAGGCTCCCCATATCCTTATCTGTTCTTAAGCCGGCTGTACAAACAGGTCTCCATCCCTCTGAAATGTGCACTTATGGGTTTCAGAGTCAACATCCTCTTGCAGCAGCTGTCTCCTTCCAGATCTGGGGTATATTGTTCTCAGTCTCCATGCAGCGGTTCAGGGAAACATGGGCCATGTTACACTAGGTCATGGTGGAGTCCAGGGAGGCGCATGTCCCAAGAGAGTCACTTCTATGTACATACTTCAGAGAAGCAGAAGTTAGCCCCTCTCTCACTACAGACTGCATGGCTTCTCCCTTAGACACCAGGCCTCATGGCAGACCACCATGTCTTTCTTATTCACTCTGTACCTCTTCTCTTCATAGTGCACTCTCTCCTATACCCTTCTAGCCCGTGTGGCTTCCTCCTACACACCAGCCCTTGTAGCTGACTCCCATCTATACACCTTCAGACCATGTGTCTTCTTCTCTTTCAGCCCGCCCTAATTTTAAATGCTTGGCCTGGAACTTCCTATGTGACCTTGTATATGGCCTCTCCAATGATGTACCATTTTTGCTAGTTCCCCCGTATCTTTTACCTTCTTTTGGCTGCCATTTTTAATCAGAGCAGGAGTTCCCAGTGACTTCCAGGGTGGGCATCAGCCCCCTGCCCCTCACACAGGCTCTGTATTAAGCTCCCCTAGCTGTATCACAAGTCTCTGAATGTTCTCAGAGTCATGTACACCTTTCACCGTGGGTGACAGTCCCCTCTCCTTCCATAAAGGCATGACTATTACCTTGCCATTGTTAGGCAAAGTATCTCAAATGCTGTACCATCCAGTTCCTCCTTCCCCCAATCAAGGTTTGTGGGGGTTTTATCTTGTTTTCAGGGGACCTTTGTTCTGTACCCTGTTACAACACCAATAATAAGCAAAATGGATTAAAGGCAAAACATCATTTTCCTAGGTGGGTCCCATGTTGAAGGGCTAGGAATTGGGACAGGAGGATTCCAAGGGGTCCCAGAATATTCCTCTCTGGAAGGTGGGCTTCTGTCCATACTCCTCCCAGGGTATGCGTTTACCATCAGTCCCATGTTGTCTGTATAAACTTAGGTGAGTCATCGATCTCTGCCTCTTGCAGTTTCTCCACCTTGAAGAGGAGTTGGTGTCACTCAGTGCTGGGTAAGTGATGAGGTGGACAAGAATGGAGAAGTTGGCCTGGGAGTGAAGGCAGACCCAGAAGACAGGGCTGACCATAAAGAATCCCAGACAAAAGCCCAAAGGTCTCCTGAAATGGGCTTCGAGTGATTTTTTGGTGTTTGGTTCTTTATTGGATTCTTTTTATTTTCCCCAGCCTGAGGATTTGGCCGCAGGTCTCCGTCGCTCCACAACTGATGCGGATCTGGTGCTTTCTCCCAGCGCTGGTGTGCTCTCACTGTCATGGGAGCAAGCACACACCTGCTTTCATTTTCTACTATTCAAAAAAAATCTTTTCACTGCCAGTGACTGTAGGGAAAAGTGGGCATACCACAACACAAATGATCGGGAAACCACAAGTGCTAACATTTTTCTTTAAACTACAGGTTTTAGTTATCCTTGGCCACTTTTGAGGCATCGAAGGGGGATAACTCTTGTACAGCAGTGCTGCATGTGGTGCGGAACTGAAGCTGAGTCACAGGAGAAAGAACTGTAATTATTCAATAATGTATATATTTTATAAAAAACCACAGACATGAAAGAATAACTGTATCATAAAATCTTCACGGTACATCTCGACCATCATGAAGGACACACATGGTTCCAGGCAATGCTGCCTATTTCTACATTGATTCTTTCTCCCGTTCTCGTCTACTCTCTTCAGAGACTACAGATTCCTCTGTAGTTTCCCCTTGATGTACCACCTCATTCAGGATAAACTCCTCAAAAACCTGAACCCAGGGATCTTATGTGAATTCACTATCCACTCTCATCTTCCTGCCATCTCTTGGATTATGCTCTTTCTTATTCAATTTTTCACCGAAACAGAGAACCAACAAGAACAAAACACACTGCTCTGGAATGACAGGATCCTCTTTAAAGTATATGGAGGTGAAGAATCTATCTGACAAACTACAAGGCACTATTTATCCTGTATTGGAACTGGAAGAGGGAAAGTATACAAATAATTACTTGCTCAAATATTCATGTGGTCACCGGAACTAGTCCTGACCTGTACTAACACCCAGTCTGATTCACCCCCTACTTTTTCTAAAACAAAGAAGCCCAACTCTTTGGGTGGGCATTTGTCATGGAGAGTGCTCTCCCTCCTTCTTTTAATACTTAATAGTATCTCCAGGGTCCTACCATTTACCTGTTGCTGGGACCCAACTCCTACTGCAGTCCTTAGAGTTGGGAATCTTGTGTCTTTCCTAGCTTTTTGGAATCACAGCAGTAGTAATAATAACAATAACAGTGAGGATGATTATAGCTAACTTAGGGCATTTTCTGTGTGTCAGGTGCAGTGTAAACGTTTAACACTGATTGCCTCTTCTGGTTTCCAGGTCCAAAAGAACTGTGTAAGTCTTCCATTGCAGCCTAACACATCACCACAAAACTCAGCAGCTTACAAACAACACATACTTATCTCCTCACAGTTTCTGTGTGTTAGGCATCTGGGCATGACTTAGCTGAGTCATTGGCTTCAAGAGCTCTCAATCAAGGTGTCACTTAGGTCATAGTCACCTCAAGGCTTAATCAGACAAGGATTTGATTCCAGATTCAGATGTAGCTCCTCACTGGCTCATGGATGAAGGGCCTCAGATCTGCACTGACTGTTGGGTGGAAGCTGCCCTTGGTTCCTTATCTAATGGGCCACCCTAATATGGCAGCTTCCTTCCTCACAGGCTATAAACTCTGAGGGCAACAGAGAGAGCGTTAGCAAGACAGAAGTCACAATCTCCTATAACCTATTCTTGGAAGTGACATCCATCACTTGTCATAGTCTATTGGTTAGAATCAAGTCACTATGTCCAGCCCATACTCAAAAGGACAGGGATCATTGGGGGTCACCTTAGAAATCTGCCAACCTCAAGACCAACTGGGGAAGAAGGGAAAAAAGAGTTGTTTTAAGATTTCAAGGATAATATCAACACTAGGAGATGCAAGTAGTTCAGGGTAAGGGTCGAAGCTAATAAAGGTAGAAGTTGGGAGGTAGAATGGGGATGTACCTTATAGCGTTTTTGATCCAGCGTCTTTCTGTCTCTCTCCTAGTTTATAACATGAAAGTAAAGCTGAGAAGATGGTAGGTGTAAGGCTAACATTATGCATGCATTTATTGGGCAAAGAACTGTCTTTTCCACTAGGAAAGTGCATGGAAAATAAAAGTAATGGAGTCATGGGGTGGAGGAATAGCAAAAAGGAACTGCAGCTAATATCTCTGGACAGAAATGACCCAAGGGCCCTCTAGGCAGCAGGGTTTTGGCAGGAACATGCATCAAATAAGAAAAAGAAAGAATTAGGTACGGACCAGGTACCCTCTGGAAGAAGGTGTCTACAACCACACAGTCAAGATGGGAGAACTGAATTCTGGACATAAAAGAGGAGACTGGTCCTAGAAGGATTCCTTCAGGTAACACTACATAGAGCAAAGATGCAGGGGAGAGGACGGGAAACATTTTTTAGCAGCATCTACCAAAACAAATTTTAGTTAATATATTGAATCTATGTGGTGAGGGGAAGAAGGTTGCAGAACTTTCCAGAGCTTTTCATATGCTAGTATGCTCTGTGAAACCCTGAGATGTGTGTGAGGGAGGCTGGGGATTGAGTAGGCGGCGCTTCTCACACATATTTGTTTGTTCTGTATGGAGGCCGTAACATGCTACACACTTTAGGGAATATTCCATTATCAAATGCCTGTGGCCTTTTCTTTGAGAGCCAGAAGGGTGGTATCTGGCTCAAATATTCCCAGTAGGGCAAGAATGGTGACCAGTGGTTGAGCAACAGCCAAATATTTTTACCTAACACCTATGTGTTAAGCAGAAATGAAACTAGATCTCAACATTTGGGCCCCAGCAATGGGAAAGATACAAAACCAGTCAGAGCACAAGTCACCTGACCATCACCTTTTACAGCCATCCCTAGAGTGTGCTCCAGATTCCCAAAGCTCTGTCTACTACAGTTCTCTGCAGCACTCTCTTTCCTCTCCTGCTGATGCTCCTCTTGTCAATATAGAAGGAATCAGGGGGTTCACTCCATGGGCTTTTCACTTGGAATTTTTTCAGTATGGCAGTGGTAGGGTAATAAAGGGAGAGTCATTGAAACACGCAAGACAATCATGTTAACAGCCCCCCTGCTCCTCCTTTTTAAATCTTTCTAGTATAGAGAAAGGAAGAAGAAATCAGGGAAGGACTTCCTGCCAAACCACAGAGAAGATTGCTCATCAAGGAATGCTGATTTCTCTAGCATTAGTGAGGAGTTACCCACCGTGGGGATTAAGACACCAGTGCCCTTTAACTCAAGGATGGGAAACCACCTCTCAAGTAACCGAGTCAACTGAGGGTCCATCCAACTCAGTAGAATGAGACAGCTATGAGAAGCCACTCCTTTCTAGAGTACACAGTGCTGTGTATTCAGGTTAATCCTCCAACGATATTATAGTCACTCTCCATGGTTAATGAATAGCTTCTAAGTGCCTGCTTCATTTAATTGTCCAAAGGCCAGTTGGTCCTGGAGCGTATAAAGCTACGAGCTGGCTAATGAGAGCATTCTCTCTGAGGAAGGGAAGCAGGGGAGTGGCAGGGTCAGGGAGCTGGGTCCCAAAGGTGCAGGGATGCAGAACAGAACCAGCGCAGTTCTCTGTGCCTTTGCCCTCCTGACTGGCTTCCTGATGGTCTGCCTGGGGGCCTTCTTCGTGTCCTCGGGCTCCATCGTCAGCTGTCGGGTGAACCTGATCCTGGCCTATTTGCTTCTGCCTCTGGGGTTTGTGATCCTTCTGGGTGGAATTTTCTGGAGCACCTACCGCCAGGCGAGCGGAAACAAAGGGATGTTCAGCCACGTGCTCAGACAACACCTTGCTCATGGGCCCGAGGGCCTGGCCACAGTGGACAGGTATGTGTTGAGAAGCCAGACGACTGATGAGGGCTGACATGGGGCTGAGTTCTGGCAAAGCTGAGTGACTTCTAACCCCACGGTGGAACAACTTACCTGTCTCATGGGGCTGCCTGTCTATAGCCAAAGCTTTATCCTCAGGCGGTTACTCCCAGGTTAGTGATTAGGAGCAATGGGGCTGCCTCTGGGGAAAAATGTGAAGTAAAGGAAATTTATCTCAGAGGCTCCCCGCCCGCCACAAACACACTGTAAACCCACCTCAGCCAAGGTAAGAGGCCCAGCTCCAAGGTTGTTTCGTTGTATCATGGGAGCTTTCCTTAGAGGCTGCTGGTGGTTAGTTATTCTTTGTAGTCCAGCTGTAGGGTTATAAGAAGGGCAAGTCCAGAACCAAATTCTGCCCCACAACAAAGGAGCAAGCCCTGCAACCTCTTTATGAGCTCAGTGAAGTCCCAGCTTTTAGGTACCCTTTTAGTTATTTTGATCATACCTCACATGAAAGATTCATTTGAGGCAAAGCAATAATCCAGAGGTGAGATTCAGTTAACCTTGCCACATTGCACCCACTAGGATGGCAATTATTTAAAAAACAAACGAACAGAAAACAAGTATTAGCAAGGATGTAGAGAAGTTGGAAACCTAGTGCATTGCTGGCATGAATGTAAAATGGTGCAGCCACTATGGAAAATGACATGAAAATTGCTCAAAATATTAAACACATAATCACTATTTGATCTAGCAATTCTGCTTCTGGGTATTAGACAAAAGAATCAAAAGTGCAGACTTGAAGCTTGTACACCAATGGTCATGGCAGCATTTTCCACAATACCAAAAGGTGGAAATGACCATTACTTCAGAGGGACACGCACGATGCAGTGTACACACAAAGCAGAATACGTTTTGGCCTTAAGAAGTAAGGACATTCTGACGCATGCTATAACATGATGAGACTTGAAGACATTATGCTACATGAAATAAACCAGACACAAAAAGACAAATGTGTATATATTCGACTTATATTAGGTACCCAGAGTAGTCACATTCACAGACAGAAAGTAGAACAGTGGTCACCGGGGCGAGAGGTGGAGGAGTGGCACAGTTGGGAGGAGAACAGCACGATGGTCAAACAGCAGTGTGCACGTACTCAGTGTCGCCGAACTGCACACTCGGCCAGTGTGGTAAATCTCACGTTATGTGTACTTTACCACATTAAAAAATATCAGTTAGCCTTATGGTCAGTATCAGACAACCAAAAGCCTCCTCATTCTTGGCTGAAATGGGACCACTTAGGGATAAAACATCGGGTATCATCCTTAAGGTACAGGCTGCAGGACTCCATAAGTTCTTTTACCTACTTTATCTAAAATATTTTAGCTACTCTGTGAATTTTGAATAACTGTAATTTTACCCATGACTTGATTTTTGACATTATTATGTTAATGAATGGTGTGAATTATAATAACCCTGACTCATTTCCAATGTTTATTATACCTATTAGCAAGGTCTCTGCATTTGGTAAAAACTAAGATAACCAAAGTGATTGTAGAAGATTTTTCTGGAGTGCTGGTTTTATTCTGTATAAATGTTAGATGATTGCCTCCTGAGAAGTATAACTGATTACCTTTTGGGTGTGGCTTAAAGTTGCTAACACTTGCATAACGCAAAGCATCACACTGTGCAGAAACGCTTTAAAGCAGACTGTGGACATCGTGATGTCCCCTTTTGCTGCCTCTTCCTGCTGCATCTGATAGAGCCCGGCCCATTCAAAATGGCTCCCAAGTCAGTCCAAAGTTGCATTTCTCAGAAGCATTTGCATTCCAAATGGGTTCCCAGGTTAAGGTGTAAAGCAAATGTGTCTGCAAGGATAGAATGCAGGGCACGGGGCACTGGGAACATGACCTGCTGTAGGGGGAGGCGGGGGCCATTGTGAGAGGTGAAGGAGATTTGTGGGGCAGGCGGCAGTCACCCCTGAGCCTCTCACATTACTCTAGGGGACAGCCCACCTTCCTGTCTTCAGTGTCTTCACACTTGTGCCCCGTGACACAGCCGGGCTATTCGGAGTGGAGGCTGAGCTTGGGGCTGTACAGTAGACAGCAGCTTCAGCCTTTTGGCTCTGGGCCTGGTCACATTTGGAAGGGAGTGTGGTCCAAGTGGCAGCGCCTGTTCTGTTGTGGTTACACACCACAAACACTCCCTGTAGGCGCTGGGAGAATTCACTCTATAAATACACAACTCAACCAAGTTCACCCTCTCTCTTCCTCACCTCCATGCCACCCCCAATCCTATTCACAATGGAGAAGCCGGAAGGATTTAGCAATTAGCCACACTGGGCAAGAGCACTGATGCCTATGTCAGCTCTGGCATGAAGGGCACTGTCCGCCATTGGCATGGTAAAGGCTGCAGCTGCAATCGACATAAAGTTCTCGGGTGAAACAGCTTGGGAAAAACGCATATGGGTTGTTGTAATTTTTGCTTATTTGTTTGTTTTTGTTTTTTTTTACTAGCTGTCAAGGCTTGAAAAAGTGGAAAAAAGTGGATGGGAAAGAGAGGAGCATCTGTTATAGTTCAGGGAACTGCACAGAGCTGGTTTTCATTCATTATTTTGTTGGCTGGGAGGACCTGAGACAGTGATTGCAGCTCAGTAGGAGATGATGTGTGTGAATGGGGACAAGGGTGTGAATGGACTAAATAACTGGGTAGGGAGTTCCACAGTCAAGGCCCCCATGTCCCCTACCTCTGCTGAGGATCTCACACTGAAAGTCCCTGCTTCCAATGAGTAAGAGAGGGGATAGCTTGGAATAACCCCCTGAGAAAAGTGACTACAGAGACCCACATCTTACGGCTAATAAACAGGGCTCTGCTGGAAGAGTGGCACCTTTTTTTAAACTAGCGATGCCAGGGAAGAAATACATCTGTTTCAAAATCAATGTTTCTTAACAGTTTAACTTTGCACAGTGGGATCTGAGAGAGGCAGACATATGCCTCTTTGGCATGAACCACTTAAATAACACATGTGTTTGCGGCATTTTCTCCCCCAGGCCAGATTTCTACCCTCCTGCTTATGAAGAAGGTCTTGATGCTGAAAAGCAAACCTATCCCGCAGAGCAGGAGGCCTCGGATGTTCCTCCACCTCTATACACAGAGAGGGACCTTGAATTTGAGGATGAAAAGGATGTTCACCGAGAGGCACCCCCATCCTATGACGACTCCGTGGTGGACAGAGTGGTGGCAGCAACACCAGCGCAGGACACTGAGAGACAAAGCCGAGAGTGCTGAGGGGGAAGCTCTCCACTATGCATGATGCACCCTCAGGGCATACAGCTGCTAAAAATAAAAGTAGGCAAGGGACTGTGGGAGGAAAAGCCAGGTCAAAAACCCTGCTCATGAGCTCCCCGAGGAAATCATGACTCTGTAAGAAATGTTGTCAGCTTTATTATATTTAATGTTTTATTCCAAGAGGACAAGTTGGATGGCAGGGTGGTGGCAAGAGACACAGCCTGATGCTTTCTTTAGAGCTGGGACAACAGCCTTCATCTCTCCGGGCCTCAGTTTCCTTCTCTACGGAGTGAAGAATTTATGCTGGGGTTAATATCTAACCATTGTGGAATGCTTTTTATATGGCAGCCTCCATACTATGAACTTTGTGCTTTTTATTTAGCCCTCATTATAACCTTCAGAGACAGGTGCAATGGCTGTTCCCATTGTACAGATGCATACACTGAGGCTGTGAGAAGTTAAGACTTTCCCAATAACATGCACTTGTTTTCGGGAGGATGGAGGAGTGTCTGTAGAGGGGCATGGGAGGATGTATTTATTTCCAACTTTTGTCCTGGGTTAACCCTGTCTTACTTCCCTCCTCACAAGGAGCAGCTTGGCCTTCCCTCCTCCTTCAGAAAATGGGCCCCAATAGGATGGAGCCCCAGGGTTGCTGCAAGAGTTAAAGCCCCTGGAAAGGCCACAGAGGTTGCTTCAGGGTTCATCTGGTAGATTCTTGTTTAAAATGTAAATAAGGCCTCCAGGTGTTCTGCCCAGGAGCTTGGCCCTCACCTCTGAGTATAGTTTCCTTTCCTCTGATCATTCAACTGATCGTGAAAGATGGTTCCTTAGGGTCACAGGCAGCTGTAGGTGACTGGGCACCAACGCACAGGAGGGGCTTTGGGCTGCGACAGGAAGGATGAAGAGATCTCCAGGAGAAAGAGGGTTACTGAGATGGGATGGGGCCCCAAGGCCTTCTCTTCCCCGTTAGGGCTGAGTGCACAGATGAAGCGGGTCCTGACAAACACACAGAAAGCCACATAAAAGGAAATCCTGGTCCCTTTACAGTTACAGAAGCATGAATTTGGGCATCTGTGATTTAAATCCTTGACATCAGGATTTGTCAAGGTAAGTGGGTACGCAGGTCACTCAAGGTTGTCCAACAGGGAGGTGATCGTGTATTAGCAATGTGGTTTATTATTCCTCTTTAATCATCTCTTTCCACCCCTCTGCTGAGACAGCATCCTGACATTTCCCCGGGGTCCGAGCTGAGCACATTCACAGACCTGAACAAGCTCTAGCCCTGGGCTTTCATCCAGAGTTTGCACTTGTTAGAGATGGTTTTCCCAACCACTGGTAGGCACGTGAAACACATGTTAATTTTGGTTTACATAAGAAAATTGTTTTGATATCTTTGCAATAAATTTTGTACTTAAACTTTCTCTTTTTTTGCCACTGGTTTCTATCAGAAAAAAAATCAATAGGGGAACATAAGTCAAAGTTTCATTCTCTATGTGGAACTAACACAGCACCCAAATGAGTTAATTGTTCTGTAAAACCAAACATTACTGACCAAAAACTATTGATTCAGAAAATTAGCCAGGTGCTTTTTGAAATGGAATACTACTAATTCATTGTTTTTTTTAAAAGCATACATACTCTGAAGCAAGCATCAAGAACACAGGTATCACCCAAAACGCATCCTACCTGAGACAGGCCCAGCAATGAAACCCACTGGGCAAGTCAGACAAAAGGCTCCTCTGTGGTTGATCAGAATTCACTGGCCACCCCTGGGGGATTCACTCAGGGGAAGTAGACACTGTATTCCCCTTTCCTCTGTAAGATTATGATAAAATTAATGGTGATGGACTGAGAACCATGATTCCAGAATGACAGGGAGGGCACTTAGATAGTGAGACAGCAGAAAAGAGGCAAACCTCCAAGCAGAGTGTCTTCGCTTGTTCCCTCTTCTCAGATGTGAGTGGGAGACTCATGGGTCAATAGGAAAGGGAAATGTTCGGAGGCAATGGCTCCTAGTATTTTAATCTTGTAACGTCCTTTTGAACAGCAAGTTTAAGTGCCCTCCCCAGAAGATGAGCATAGTATCAGGTCAATTACAGGATAGTTTATGCTGCAAATATTTTGCATCCCTGAGATGTAGTATGGGTATTTTTAAGCCCTCCACACAAAAAGTCACAAGTCCTTTTACAGACAATCTTAACCATCTTTTAGGATACTACTTAAACACATAGCGTTTGGGGATGTATCTCCCCAGTTCACCTGTATTGCAGGGCACACATGAGGTGCTAAAAGACATGGAACTTGGATAAAGATACGGGTTTATAATGCGTCTCTGCAGTGTGTTCTATAACTTCCACGACAACTTAGGCTGATCCACATACCAAGTGCGCTGTCAAGTGCATGGGCCATTTCCTCTGATAGGGACTGCAGCTGGCTGGAGCGGAGCAGGCATTCTGCTAAGCTCCGACGCCTCGGATAATCTCTTGCTGTTTGCAACTGTTGAAGGGCCAAAGACTGATTTACTGGCAGTTACATCATTTCCAAAGGTGCATAGTTTCTCAGACCCTTCTCGACTCAGGCATGGGAATGTCCTCAGGCAGGTGTCTGGGATATCTGTGTCCACGTGCTTCAAGAACACCCAGTGCAAAAAGAACACCCAGTGCATGACCAAGCAATAAAAGGGGGTCATCTGTTATGTTACTACAAGATCCCCCAGGTGCTTTTCCCATTCCCCCAACCTGCCGTGGCTCGTGGATACTGCTGCCACAGTGCCTTACCCTGACCCACAGCTGCCCAGTGAGAAGTTACCACACCACTATCTGTGTCATTGCCTGTTTTATCTGCAGAGGACACTGGCTCAGTGCAACCAGCTGTCAGCTCCACGTGCCACCTGTGACTGGCCATCAATCTGAGGCTTCCCGTGCAGGAAGTGCTCGTGTAGTGTCCAGGCCCTTCCACCTGCAATGCAATGCAACTGTTTGTCCCATGAATGCTGTGGATGTATTTCAACAATGGCTGCCTGCCCACTTTCAAGGTCAGCTAATAAACTCAAGAATCATGGATGGGGCAAAACAACTTTTTGTTGGTACCTAGCAGGATGTTTAGCATCCATGGTCCCCTCCCATTAAAGGCTTCCCTGGCACATACACACACATTTCCAAACACTCTCTGTGTGGGTGGTGACACTGGCCTGGTGGGAACCACAGCATTGTACACATATTGTTGCTGTCATTGGTCTGGGGGGGCCCATGGGGTTGTGAGTGGACCCTCAATATTAGCTGATTACCAGAGTGGCCCTGATACTTGCCACACTCTATACATAGTTTCTTCTATGATTGTCTCCTGTGGCCCCCACAAATCTTGGATTTCTCCAGCCATTCACTCTTAAGAAAAACTGGTAGCTGGAGCTCTGTGTTTAAGAACACAATGAACAGTAAGTGCAGAAGAGAGACTTCCTGTCTTTCATCTCTCTGAGGATAAGACGAGAGGACAAGTGTGTATAACTCAGCAAGAGAAGCCTGGCTGTCACATCAAGCAGACAGAATATGTTGGCAATGTGAGTACAAACAAGTTCCAGGGAGAAGCCGCGTCCTAGAGCCGCTCCGCAAAAATAGGTGTCTGTGCAGCTGCTGCTTTCCTTCCGTTGCTGGGCCCAGCATCGGCTCTGCCTGCTATTTATGACGCCGTGTTTGCTCCAGGCCCCCTCAGCCAAGCCAACCGTTCTCTGGGCCCACAGCAAGCCCTCCCACCCCTCAACTCCCAGTCTTTGTTCTCAGTGCAGTTGGCCCTGGAGAAATTACATACATGGTTACGAGTCCCGGGAAACTCCACTCTTTGGGAAACCCCTCAGGTGTCTACTGTCCTACCATCTCTGAGTCAAATTCTCTGTGCACTTCCACAGAACACGGCTTGTACCTCTGTGGTGGCATGCACGTCTACCCGATTCTTTGTGTGTTCTTGTCACAGCCTCCTTGTCACAGTTTCCAAATTATGAACTCCTAGGAGCAGGGATAATGTTTGATACATCATCTCACTGCACCAAACCCAGGAGTCTGCAGAGAGTTGTCCAGCCAGTGTTTGCTGAATGAACGAACGTTCACTGGGCTGCTGGACGCACACGACTCCATACAGAAATAAAGAGGAGTTTTTAAATGAGGATTAATTTACATTTGAACATTGAAAGTTCGAAATGGTTAAAAGTTCAGCAACTCAAGAAAAAATAAATATTTTCTTACCTAGGGCCAAGAAAGAATGCATCTAACAGTGTTGACCAACTCAGAGCCCAGGCGTGGCTGGGAGGCCGCCAGGGACCTGCAGGTCACAGCGCAAGGGACTGAAGGCAGATGGCAAACCGTATTCCATTCCTGATAAATGTCGTAACTAGTTCTTTTGAATCTTAGCTCAAAGCCAGCCTCCTATGATTTCGAAGGGAAGATACTTACAATAAAAGACTAAATGCCACTTCAGTTTCTGCTGTGAGCAATTCATCTGTTCTGTTCCAGTTATTTAAAACATTCCCAAGGTCATGATGATGAAAACCAGCCCTTGCTGGTGTTCTGAAAGGCAGCTTTATCGGGACAGTGACTGCTCCTGGAGTTTCTCAAAGGGCGAAACAAACAGATAAGCAAAACACCACAATCTTTGCATAAGGATGAAATAAGGAATTTTTTGTTTATTGGATACTAAATGTCCTAGCACGGTTCTGACAGAAGCATGGATAGAAAATGGAAACAGACACCTTGTGGGGGATGTTTCTCTGCTTGCACTAATCTTAACTACAGCAATAACAAACTGCTCAACAGTCAGAGCACGCCACATCATCTGTGCAAATGACACAAGTGAGAGTGCCGTTCCCAAGGAAGCAAAACATACGCAAACAGGTCCCGCGCACCCAGCGTCCTGGCAGAGTCTGAGGGAGGCTGCTAAAAGCTGCAATATCCTTTTCCTGGGCAAAGAAAGCCTGTTGTGACCCTCTTCTGCCAGCAGGGGTCCCCACTCTGCCCATATCTGTAGCCCCAGTAAGGTTTTCCTCCTGTGCCCACTTCATTTCCTACTTTTACAGTGTTTCATTGTCTCCTTTTACAGCCTTTATAGGTAAGAGCTGAACTGTGTCCAAACCAGTGCATTAAAACAGGCCTTTATTGGGAGATGAGATAGCAGAGAGAGAAATAGCAGATATGGTGACATTTTGTCTCCCCAAGAGGAATGAGTATAAACCCATGTGCCACCCTAGGTGATGGAATCAAGGAAGGGTCCGAAAAATGTGAAGCGTTCATTTACGTAGTCCTGCCAAGAAACTGTTTCCCACCTGCATCATGAAAGGCTGAATCTGAAGGGATGCAGCCAGCTTCATAGCTAAACTAGTATTTACAGAATAAGAGAGGAAGACGCCTTTTGATAGGTTTTGTTAAAAGTGTGCCGTTGTGCTTGGTAGACCGCTCCAGAAGATGTGAGGGAAGGTGGCACGGGACCCAGAGGTGGAGAGGCGGGAGAGTGGGCTGTCAGGGGTTGGCGGGTGTGAAGAGGGCTCTTAGGACTCCTACAAATTTCCTGATGGAAAACCTGACCTGGGACGTAAAGTTGAATGCTCCTCAATGCCCAGGAGTGTTTTCTTAGGTCTGTCCAGGGGCACCTGTGGCCTCAGGTCCGCTGGACTCCGGCACTGGGCTCTCCTCGATTCTATTTCAGAACCTTTTCCCAGCGGGACCAACAATGCCCAGGAGTCGTGACTAACACATTCCTAGCCCACTTACCCTTTCACAAAAGGGGAGTTTCCTTTGTGTGATAATATAGTAACACGTGACAGTGCAGCTTTACAGACAACTGAAGACCCTATTGCATTTGGAAGAACTGACCAACAGCCAAACAAAACAGATGTTTTTCTTGTCCCACCCACTCCCTCCCACCCCCACCAGCAAATTAGCTCTTGTGCTTCCCTTCCCCCCAAAGTCATAAGAGGCACAAACAGGTAGCAAGAAGGCATGGGTGAAGTGTCTCCTGCTCAGCGCTCTCCTTTGGCCCTGGTGAGGGATCCTTCCTTCCTTCCTTCAGGTGATGACGGTGGGACCCCTCCGGCCGGTCCGCTCGTGAATCTGGGATATTTTCAGCGCGATGGCTATGAGGGGGCTCAGCACTGCCTGAAAAGGGAGGAAGAAGGTCTGTGAACAACTCCAGTCAGTCACCAGAGGGCCACTGCGATGGGTTTTGATCTCAAACATCTGGATTCCATTCCAATTTGCACCTTACAGGCAGGACCATCATGGGCAGGACACCTGTTCCCCGGCCTCGGTCTCCTGTTTTGTACAAGGAGATGGGGACCTCCAAAGTCTCCTCTAACTCCCAGAAACTTTGATTTAAGGTAGGAAACTGCACAACCCAACTACCAGAGCACTGGAGCATTTCATGGATGGAGCTTTGTGAATCAGGGAAGTTCAAAAAACTCCAGTCTTCCTCTGCTGTCCTCTCTCCTCACATGCACCGACCCCATACGCACACACACAAACTTGAGGAAAAACATTGGCTCTCCATCCCAAGGCCAAATGTGAAGAACCTACTCTCCTGAGATGTCAAAGACGACAGGCCCCTCCAGTTGGCTAGTGCCGCAGAAATAACTGCTCATTTCTCCCACCAAATAACACGGTGGCTCCTGAGGCTCCTCCATGTCCCCTAGAAGGAGGTGGGGTGGTTTAGAGACCTAAGGAATGGATTCCTGGACTGACAGGGGACACAATGAGGAATAAAGATCACTTCTTGCCCATTAGCTGCTCATCATGTCATAGGACTAATGTGTTGTTTTCCAAAGTGTGGGGCATGTACCACTCAAAATGATTTTAGTTGGTACAGGTTATCATAGATGGTGCAGGGACACGGTGTTACTTACAAAACAATGAGGTCACTCTACTTTCCGTTCTTCTTCAACCCTCCTAATGCCGTCAACGAGAAACTGCCTCCAGTCTGGGACAGTTTAACCAAGGCAGAGCATGCCACAGGCCAGCTTTCCCTGGGTGAAAGATGCTCTCATGCTATATTTTTGTTCAATTCCTTTTTATGGTGCCCTTTTATTTATTAGGGATAATGTGTTTTTCCTTGTACAGCACCACTATACACTTTCTGTAGTAAGTAAATGGATTGAAGTAAAAACAAAGTGAGTCCATTTAAAAACAAATAGTAAGTAGAGATACTGACAGAAAAGAAGCTTGTGAAATACTGGTATAAAGGAAGAGAAAACAAACCATTTGAGGAAAATAAAACCTGTCATTTTGGAGAGTGGTGGGGGAGTTCTGTCACTTGCAGCCCCCACATACGCCTAACAGAAACGGGGGTGAAGGGAATGCATACGTTCTCATCAGACAAGAACACCAGCCGATGCCAGGGTACAAGTAGCCCAGTGTGTTCCGAGTGCAGTGTAGATACAGGCCAGTCCTGAATGATAACTGAGGGATCTAAATGCCAGAGTGAAGTTGAAGGATTTAATTCATTAGGCAAAGGAAGATGATGGAGTGTTTTTGAGCTGAAAGTTTTCCCTGTCAGAGCTATGCTTTGGAAAGATTTCTCTATCAGCAAAGCCAGTGGTTAAACACATTTATGGCTAAATGCATTAAATTATCTTCCTCTATGAAGACGTCTAGATGACAAGGCTCAGATACAACTGTGCACACTAGAAGGAGATGAAAAATCTAAAGTAATTTCATAGCTAAAGAAGCCAGCAGTAGCTCCCTCTGGTTCCACACCCACAAACTTGACACATAGAAACAGAGCATCTCTTTTCCTTTCAATAACCCATCTGATGTCCAGAAAAGTCTACTGCAGGAAAAATCTCCAACACTTTTTCAGTACACAGTCAATGTGATACCCATATTGTGACATCTGCATTTTTTAAAAAATCCTAACTGGGGATGAGAGAGAGAGAGGGACACCAATGTGAGAAACATTGATTGGTTGCCTCCCATAGGCTCCTAGACCTAAGATCAAACCCACAACTGAAGTATGTGCTCTGACCAGAGATAGAGCCTACATCCTTTTTGGGATACGGGAGATAGTCCAAACAACTCAGCTGCCTGGCCAGGGCAGAATCTGGATTCTTTAGGAGCCAAACATCCATTTTGTATGGAAATCAGGAATTTTCCACTTTCACTCCTCTTCCTCTCCTGTCTTCTTCTCCCTCTTTCCTCCTTCCCATCCCCTTCCTCTTTTTTTGGCAATACAGTTGTCCCTCAATATATCGAGGTTGACTTATTGCGGCTTCACTGTATTGCAGGTTAGTACCCATACAGAATTTTATATGTTGTTAAAATTACGTAGGTTTAAGAGTGTAGAAAGTGTATAAGAGCATATGAAGTGTTTATAAGAGTGTGGGAAAGGTTAATAAGAGTGTGGGAAAGATTTATAGGAGTATGAGAAGGGTTTATAAAGCCTTAAAATATATATAAATAATAAAATAAATATAACGCTGCTACTTCGCGGATTTTCACCTATCGTGGGGGTATCTGGAACGTAACTCCCAAGACAGGTGAGCGATCACTGTATACCAGTAAATCCTCAGTGATACCTATGAAAGAGGTTGAACAAGGCAGTTTAAAATCAATCACTTCAACTGAGGTCCTGAAGAACAAGTAAAGATTCATTTAAAATATCCTACCAATTTAAGAAAATGCAGTGAAATTGAATTTGAAACTTCAAGAACTGAAATTAAAACATACTTATTTTACATCCTTGTACATTTCAAGATGCAGGATTTTCCACTCTGTATGTTTATTAAGTGCTGGTACCTACTGGCAAGAGCACAGTTGTAACTGATGCTGGGAATAATACTTCAGACCCTCCTTTACTGATCTCCACTGCACTCTGTAGATGAGCCTGTGTTTCCCATCTTCTGTAGGACAGCTGATCGACGTCCATAACACACTGGATGTCTGTGACCAACGGGCCACTATGGAACATGCTCCCCGACTTCTGCTCCCAGCAGTTAAGTGCTTACCAGGAGTCAGTTCAGTTTGCTCCTAACTATGTTAAGGCCTGTAGTACTTGGTAAGAGCCTGCAGTTATTAAATTACCTGTAAACCAGTGAAGTGTAAGTGTATGTAGGTAGAAGTTCTTTCTGTGAAAATTAAGTTGAACGTCTGGAAAGACTTAGGCAATGGCCGTTAGCTAATCCTGTCAAATCAGATGTGAGTGAGGTACTATGAAATATTTAAGAGAAATAAAAAGAATATAAAAAATTCTTCCCTCATATAGCTTCACAGCATCTGTAAGTTCTCACTGGCTATAAAGAAATTAAAGGTGAACATTATGGATAATGAATTATGAATGAAAATATTTTAAAGAAAAATAATCACAACTAAATGGTATGGTCATTCTTAAACAAAAGGTCTTAGACCAAAAGTAAAAGACTGAAAAATGAGCATATATGTAATATATTGTGCTAAAAAACAATGGTTGAGATATGTATGCCTTTAAGGACCTCTGTTAACTCTCTTTCCAGATTAGTGAGCCAAGCACTCTTCCCTGTCCTGACCATGTCACATGAGAAGGCTCCAATGGCTATTATGCAGCCCGAAGGGAAGGGAACAAAGTTTGGAATGTCCAGATAAGGAAGACCTTGAGCACAGGAGCTCCCACCTGAGCAAAGAGCCCAGGCCCACCTGGCCCAGAAGCTGTGGGGCTGTCTGCCTGCAAGGGCCGAGGGTTTGGGAAGGATGTCAGTGATGTTCACCGGGGACTAAACACTACTGAGGTCCACGAGCCATTTTCCAGGAACCTAGAAACTCTTTAGGTGTTTGCAGGGCCTTAAGGAGTTCTGGGGGGAGTCCCTAAACATACCCGAGATTGAATTTTTGCCAGCCTTGTGGGAGCTGCAAGTCAGAATTAATTTGAAAATCACAAAGTAAGGCATTGTTTTCCTGCCTGAGTGTGTAGAGTCAACACAGGAGTGAGAGGAAGGAAGGAAAAAGAGGGATGGATGGAAGGAAGGAGGGAGGAAGGGGAGGAAGGAAAAGGAGGAAAGGAAGAGAGGAAAGGAAACAAGAGAAAAGAAAATCACAGGTTTGATACACATGAATCCCAGATACTTCACTCATGCCATCAATCATGTTTTATGGGAAAAACAGAGGGGGGAATTAATTTTCCTGAGGCACTGGAAAGGCCCTCAGAATGGGGAGTGAGAAGGGGAGATAAAAATGAGAAGCCCGTGTATGTGAAATTTCTGAGGTGGGATGAAACATAGAGCTTGAGAAGCAGAGAGGACCATGGAATCGCCTAGTTTGATTCTTTCCCATCACAGACCAGCAAACCCAGCCTGGAGAGGAGACGTGATTGGCCCAGGGTTACTCCTGTGTTGGGTGGCTGGGCTGGGGGAAGAACTTAGTGACACCTCTTCTACTGTTCTTCTGTCACACAGTTCTGATTCTGAGACCTGTGAGGCAGAAAAAGAACAGAGAAACGAGCCTCAGAGGAGGGGAGGGAGAAAGGGCAGGGCTGTCGTCCCGCTGCCCCAGACCAGCCCCACGGTAGACAGTAGACGAGGCATCTGAGCAGCCGTCTCCGCTGACCAAGAGCAGGTGGGCAGTGGGAAGTGCACTCCCAGTGATGTGAGTGGAACTTCCAAGGTGACTTTTTGTGAATAAAGGAAATAAACTAATAGAGACTTTAATCAATTAGGAATAGAGCATCTTTTTTCTAATTCCAGTACTACTTCTTAGGATGCTTGGCATAGCTGTTCTTCACTCAGCTGCAGGAAACAGGGAGTGTCCACCCTGCAGCAGACGCAGCAGGCAGTGTGTCCGCCGCCTGACAGCACTCACAGTGGGGCCGGGCCCTGGGCTGGGCGCCTTAGGCTGTCGTCTCCGGTGAACAGACCTGCCAGGCTAAACAGGGAATTGGATCCTGTCTCTATTTAAAAATTTGTCACTTTGTTTATCTTGGATTTTCTGCATTGATTTTATTTTTAAAAATACCATATTACAACATTTACCTCAATTGCTGGGTTTTTTGCCACCCCCTTACATTTTGCACCCTGCTAACCTCACCCTAATCCCATTCCTGTATTAGGTTTTAAGCTGTTCCTACCCTCTGGAAGGACAGAGAAGGTTTCTCCTTTCACTTTCTTTCCCATCCTATCTCTTGCTTTATGTGGTTGTTG